TATCTTTGCTATTTTAAATACTGAGCTAAGGACTTCACCACTTACGAAGTTCTGCACCACTAACTGGGAATCATAGCATACCAACGTGGATGCAGTGAGTTACAGAAAATCAACGACGGATTCATAATGGATTTAATTAGACTGTCGTGTATATTGTTTTAATGTCAATACTACTCAACAAGACTGTCCTTTCACTCAAATCTCGTGCAGTTATTTTATTTTGTTAGTATATAGTCTAACAAGTTAGTAATGACTGTCTAAAATACCATAGAAATACTGATGACTGTACTTAGTTCAGGAGAGTTTTCATCATAGCTTGCAACTAAGACTAATAACAGTGAAAAAGTGGTTCGTGATGTAAGAGGGCGAGATTATTTTTTATACTTATTTCGACGCAAATCTTTCCTACCTTTAGGTAGAGCTCGATTTCAGATTTTAAATTCATCAATTTCCACGTTATGAAGCATAACATTACAAATTCAAATAAAAAAGAACAAAATGACTTGCTTTTGCATTTACATATTATCACAATTAAATTTACAAACATGTAACTTTGAGCTCCAATAATGTTAGCAAGAGCAAAAATGAGTTGATCACCTTCCTTAAGGTTAACAAACTACAAAGTAGAACAAAACGTCACATGCCAATTCTCGGCGACTACAATTGAGTACCTAAACACCGCCTGAACAGAAAAGTCCATACAAGCGCATCAAATATCTTTAAAAGGAATTAAAATTAGTTGTAATCATTAGGGAAGAATTGAAGTTGAAATTCAACATAAGCTGATAAAAGCAACCAAAATAATCAGAGTACTACGCGTCCATACAACCCAACAATTCTACATCTCTCCATTCCTGCGAGAATTGAGAAAAGCAACTTTGTAGTTATTATTAAAGATTGCACTACTTCATAGAACAACTGTCTAGTTATTAAGACTGGATAGCGTAATAGTTAAAAACTAAACTTAGTGCATAAATTGTAATCTCTTGATAAACAAATAGTTCGAAGCAACACTTTGTCTTGCAGTTAATTAGTACTACACTTTTTTCCGAAAATAGTTTCCGATTTTTCAACATCTTCGAACATATTAAAAGTACACGATCATGTCAAACAAGAACTGAGAACGCAAAGAACAAAAATAGTAGCTCACTCATGAAAATAAAAATGGAGGCAGAATAGGCACTCACTTTAAGCTATTCTCATTTCTTCAATCACATCTTTGACTTTCTCTTTAGTATGAAAGTTACTACTACGAAAACCTTATTTAAGATTCAGTATAAATATTTCTTTCTGAAGGCATTAATTATATGCTTAGTTCTACTGTATTGGTAATGATGTCGCTTGTGGGAGTGGGGGCGGTGGTGGTAGTGGAGGTTGACTGGCGTACACAACCTGACTAGGAACTTGATTTCCTGATACTACAGCAGCAATGTTTGCATCAGTATGCATAGCAGTTAGTTCTGGAACAAAATTTTGCAGTGGTGTTGCAGATGTAACTACTACACCCATCGTATTAGGATCTGCGGCCTACAAAATAGTTTTTTCGTTCAATATACCATAACAGAAACTGATAATAAAAGCCAAGTTGTTCTCATGAATAAAAGCGTACAACATATACCCTATTTAATTATTTCTTAACGTTTACGCAATTCTTTTTCCAAACAACAGAATTTACTAAACACTTAAAAGTTTGACAAATTCTTCTGAGTCTAAATGACGGTTAAATATTGCAAAGAGCTGTACATTCGCTCTTTGCGCACTTTGGTATTTTGCAACCAAAATGATATGAGTAGAAATTACCTGAACACTATACGGCCAAGGATAAAGCGGAACCGTAGGATAAGTTTGCAAAGCTTGAGGAATTGCTGCAGGAGCCTGATTAGCTGTTATACTTGTTCCTGGTCCTACGCTCGTTAATTCTGTCGAATGCTGAAGCAACGTATTAGTACCTTGAAGTGACAAATTTTGCATTTGGACGGCAATATTACTCACTGCAGCATCTCCATAACCTAAAATTTACAACTTAACTGCATTAATCAATTTCTAAATCACTTTCTTAAAACAGAATAGCAAAGATATGTGAAATTTCTTAATTTTATGTACACATCCTCAATCATCACCAAACTATGGCAATTAGACACTATGAAACCAACCTGAGAAAACATGAAACTGAGGATGCGGACTGTAAACGTAAGGTGATGATGAAGTTAAAAAGTACTGGTAATTCGGATTACTACGTATAAACTGCCCACCCTGATCATAAGGCGATCTCGTAAAGCAAGGTTGCTGCAAAGCATATTCAAAAAGTTAGAAAAATCTTCAACTTTTTAAATCTAGGTTTGAATTTACCATATTTTGAATATGACTCTAAACAAGATATCCGGTTCGAAAAAACCTACTATACCGTGATTTCTAGATGAGTGAGGCTATTGTACAATCCTGGTATGCCTTGTAGAGGCCGAACTTTCGTTTTCTTGTTACTATCTGCATATTTCACCATTAGTGGTAAATTGCAACCAGGAATTATCTTTTTTCCATTCATCTCCTGCAATTTGTGAAATTATGCCTGTTATAATTAATGAATTTGGAGCAGAAGAAAAAGCAAATTTTTTCATTTTCTGATCAATATATTCAAAACTATTACTTTAATTATTTTCGCGCACAATTCTTCATTATCCATTCGAGCAAAACCTACGCATCTGCTTGATCCATCACCATTTTTAAGAACTCTTGTACTAATAGTTGAACCATAGGTTTCCAACAATTTTTGCAGATCTCTCTCCGTATAATTTGATGGCAAATTTGCCAAGTACAAATTTGTGGGATCTTGCTCCTGCTGCTGAAAATATTGCTTGATGCTTGTAATCAGAATTAATATCCTTGTGATTGATAAGAAACAACTTTATAAAGGTAATTTCGCTATAGTAAACACGTTTTTCAAAAATACATAATGAACGAAGCATATGAAGAATATTCAACCGTCACAATATTATTCTCATTTTTCCATTTTTGTTAATCCACCTCTATCCCAATGAAAGATATCAGCATTCACAAAAGTCGAGTTTTTGAAATCTGAATATTTCTTTGCTGAGATTGTTAAATGATACATATCTTATATATTCCTCTCTATAGTAGTGCATGGAGTTTGCTTCATTATATGTTTTTTTCACACAAATACTCTTAAGTTTCGGTCGATATTGTCCGAAACAGAGTTATACGAGAGAAACTTACACCTTCCCGATATTCATTATCACAGTATAAGCAACTATTTAATTCAAAATAATGTAAATATTTTCTAGATTGATATTGAAAAACTACCTTAGCCATCTGTGCTCTCACTTTACCCTCTTGATTTAAACCTTCTACAGCACGTTGTGCATCATTCGCGTCCTCAAAATCAACAAATCCATACCGCCTGCACTGCCCAGTTGTTTTGTCCTAGATGAAAACTACCTTATATTTATGATTTAAACAATTGAAATAACTGACTAAAGGTGCTTTAAAAGAAAGGAAGCAACTCATTCTGAGACCATTTTTCCAATTTTGCAAACTACTACGAATTTTGATAAAGATCATTACAGCAGACGCATGAAATTTCGAGCATATAGAAACTTGCAAAGAAACTTATAAAAACCTACCATAATTGCTTTTGTTGAAGCAATTCGTCCAAACTTCGCACACATATCCCTCAAATCCTTATCAGTCGTATCTTGATCCAGCCCTCTGATATAGACATTGGTCTGAAAAACAGTTTCTATCAAAATCTAACTTTTTTAGATTTTCAGCATTCTTACAAAAACAAACCAGTTAACAATGTGTAAACGTTTTAGCTGTGTTTCTGAAGAATGAACTTTTCTCCTGTATTTTGCAGAATTTTCTTAAGTCAAAATTCTTCATTTTTCAACTCCACTTGTGCATCTAAAAATTTACCCAAGTTTGAAAAGCAGTATCATAAAAGAAACATAAACCTACTAAGCTCAGCAAGGGGACTGGTGATCCTGTACTGCTCCTACGAGTAATTGTACCTAAAGTGCGTGGACCATTCCCTATCTGTGTTCCGCTACTAACATTTCCATATTCATTCGACATGTTCTGTTGCTATAACGAAAAGTACTGTAATTTTAGCCATTTCAATGAGCCAAAATTTGTCATTTCGTCACTTCAGGGCAGATTTAATATCAACTTATTCATTCTCGACAGTTCTGATGCAAGTATAACAAAATAATCTGAAAGAAGAATATCTGCAAACCAAACCTCTCAATCACATATTCCTAGATAAACGACCTCTCAAATATCAATTGAGAGGAACGAAATTTAAAGTGTCTGAATGTGGAGAAAGATATTGATCAAAGACAACTAGAATTTTATAAGAAATAAACCCTGAACAATGAAAATGATCAAGTCCAAAGTATTTATTCTAAATGTGTTTACAAAAGATCCATGAAAAAGTCGTGTGAAATTTTGTCTCGTATACGCATTCATCTGAGTATTTGAATGAAATGAAGGTGTATGTTCCAGTGCATCCGATGATATTCCTGCCGACCTGAAGTTCATAACGGCGTCACTATTGAAGGAAAGTTATTTCACAAAGATATTTAGAACTTAAATTATCTTAACTTCTCACCCACTGATTCGGATTTAATTGAAAATTGCAGAAAAAATTTAAATCTCAAATGAGTAGCACTTTACAGACATTGTTAGGAAGCAATATGTATATATGCATATTTTTTTAAATTGAAGACCAAATCTTTGCAGGGATTTCGCATTACTTGAGAATAAAAATAACAGAAAGGAATTTAGACTGCTCACGTCATATTGAGATATAGAAATTCAAAAATTATTCTTCCTGTAGTTGTTCTTGCTTATGTATA